GAACACATTTTCTTACTTACATAAGTTCTAACTCCGTTTGCCATTTCCATACAAACAGAGGAGCAATTATCATAAGTCTTCGGTTCTATTGGTACAAGATACGCAAACAACGACGTGACGTTCGAGTAAAAATCTAATTATTCTACTGGAGGAAAAGAAAATTCTTTTCTAGAAGCTTGGACGAAAAGAACAAAAAAAAAAAAAGGAAAAAAAGAACTAGTCTCGTTCAGCCGGGGATTAGAAGGACGAGTTTTGAATCTAAATTATAATCTAAAATGTAAAATTTAATTATTTTATTTAAGGAAAAGAAAAAGTCGATTTTTTTTGTTTAGAAGCTTAGACGAAGAGAAAAACAGAAAAAAAAGAGAGAAAAGAACAAAGAAGTAGTCTCGTCCAGGCGGGGGTTAGAAAAACGAATTCGAGTCTAAATTATAATCTAAAATGCAAAATTTAATTATTTTATTTAAGGAAAAGAAAAAATCGATTTTTTTTTTTTTTAGAAGCTTAGACGAAAAGGAAAAAAGGTTAGAAAGAAGAATTCGAGTCTAAATTGTTGTCCAAAATATAAAATCTAATTGTTTTATCTAAAGAAAAGAAAAAAATCAATTCTTTTGAACAAAAAAAAAAAAAAAAAAAAAAGGAAGAACTGGTCTCATCCAAGCGAGGGGTTACTCGAAAAACGGGTAAAACGTCCCGTGATTTTAATGATCACGTTAATGAGAGAACTGGTTACTGCTGGACTCTTTTCGACTCACGGACGACGAAGTGCACGCGTTCGCGGCAAGGTCGAATCGTAACCGTAAGAAGTTCGTACGAATGATCGTGACGCGAATCATGCCTTCCGGCAGTGAATTATTAACGATTTGCTTCGAAGTCAGATTGGTCAGAAGCCGCTGGTCGTTGAGAATGTTTCGAGAATGTACATGGTTAATCGCCACGATCCGTCCTTTTTAGAGTGATTCGTAGGCGGCCACTCGCTCTTCGTCTTCGATTCGTGCGCGGAATCGCGAATCCTGATTGAAAATCCCCCCCGTCTCCTCTTATCTATTTATACCGTGCACCGTGAAACTGAATTCTACCGGCAACAAAGTTGGCAAGTGGAGTGCGTAAATAAATTTATCACTGTCACTTTCGACGATAAAAATGAGAAACTAGACTAGAATCGAGCGAACGCTGCGAATGTTACAGTCCAGACGTTAAAACGTGGGTGGTTAGGTTGTTCAAAAATATTATTTTACCTCGCCGGAGAATTATAAGAGACTTGTAAATAATAAAGGTACCCGTAAGTAATGTCGTTTCTTTTTCTTGATACTTTAAATTATTTTATTTATCTCATTTGAAAATTTTTTTAGATTATTTTCATTGTATTCTTTTTAAGATGGCAACGTTTATTAAATTTGAATGTTAATTTTCGTTTTTCTATTATTGGAAGGATTCGCGTAAAAGCGGGCCAACTGTTTTTTGGAATAATTAAACTAACCTCTCCAGCGAAGGCCTGTCCGTTGACAGTGTGCTCGGATCCTCTCGAGTCGCTACATCCCCAGTGACAATGGTACTGCTCCAGTTTGTAGACGTCGTCCATCAAAGGTCCACCGCTCAGAACTGCAATACAGTTAATGCAACAACCATCATTCTTCTCATCTTAAAGTTTCGATCTTCAATTCCTAGTGAATTTATCTCTATCGTAAAAAAAAAAAAAAAAAA